TTGTAGTTTTCATGGGCAGCCAGGCTATCAAGAGTTATTTATTAATTTTAGGGCTTCATGCCTTTTTTGTAAACCCTAGCCCAACCCAAATGAGATTAAGAAAGATACTACCCAGCCATTTAAACTGCTGACTGTAACCCTTCTTGATCCCCCCCGTTGCCCTATTTCTAGTCAATAAGTAAATAGCCCGGGATAAAGTAGTATGATGAATGGTATTCCTTCCTTTAATACTTATTTACTGAGTACTTGTTCTGTGAAAGGTCCTAGTTACAAAGAACAGACGAAAAAAACATGGGTAGGACCACAGAACTTCAAAATCCTTACAGTCCAGTAAAGAAAAATAGCCCCATAACACAATTATGGGTGCACAGAAGAACAAGAATATGTACCATAAAACAAATAGCAGCAGGATTTGAGCCGGATATTACAAGGTTACACGGGCATTACAGAGGAAGTTTTACAATGATGATCAGCACACAGGGAAGGGACAGGGTATGCTTGACAACCCAGGTAAGCAGCTCTGTCTTACTTGGGTCAATCTGTGAGAAGCTGTGCCCAGCTGTGGACTGCTAGCTGATAGCAGTCAACTAGCAGCAGATCCTGGCAGCCAACGTCAAGAGGCTCTCTCTGAACAGATACTTGGCGTCAACTCTGCATCAGCAAAAAAATCATATTCAGGGCAAGAGCCTCTCAACACAAGCAGCAAAGGCCAAATGTCAAAGGACAAGAGAGATTATTTGTTTATTCTCTGTCAATATCATTTTCAAAATGGTAAATTCAAACATCACACAGTTTCTCAGGTGTCATCCCTTCTGCCATGGTAAGAAAGCCACCTGCTTGTAACAGAGCAAAAGAAAACATAAATCATGGGGTTCGAATGATGTTACCAAAAGACATAATTTACATACCAACAACTGCAGGAGGGGAAGATGAGACAAAGATGATTTAAAGCCAGATTTTCATCATTGAAAAGTACATGTCTATGGTGTTTGTGTAGCCATGTTAGAGGGCTATGGGTATTTAGGATTCTACTTATCAAAATACAGACTTTACAACATCACAGGAAAAGAAAACTACAAACCAGTATCTTGTGAATATAGACACACAAATCCTAAGCAAAATACTACCAAACTGAATACAGCAGCACATGAGAAGAATAAAACCATGGTCACACCATCCCCAAGGGTGTGATTAAGAGCTGTTTTAATTCATTCTTTTCTGATCTTAGACTCTCACAGAGTATCACGTGAGGTGTATGGACAGATGATCATTTTCAAACAAGAATTTTAAAGCTCTATCCTGCTTTTCCTTTTACCTCTTGATTGAAGAGGTTTGGTTTATGATAACCTTAAAGGCAACAACTCAAGGCAAGGCAATTTTTTAAAACCCTGACACATGAAGGAGATACTGGAAAAGGAAGCCATGTCAGCCATTGCTGGCAATTTTTGTGGAGGCCAGTGGGCAGCTGAAGTAATTGCCTCAATTTCCTGTCACTTCCAACCCTACTCTGTCCACCTTTAATCCATCTGTCTGGATCCCCAGAATGATAAGCATAGCTATTCCACTTTCCAACCCCCCATCTTAAAAAGAAAGCCACCCTCAAGTAATTTCCTCTACTGGCTTTCCAAATAGAACCTGCTGTACCTCATACACAAAGATAATCCTCCTTGCAAGCAACCCCAGAAGCTCATCAGCCATTAAGCATTTGCTTCCATTGAGTTGTCAAACTGTGTTAATAAGTTTATATAGACCTAGGCCATTCCATTCCCAGATTACTCGAAGGCCTCAAGACCACACATAAATGAGAATATCAATATGGGAAGGTATCTTATAAAACCAGGAAATTAAATAAGAAAAGCTAACGTACAAAACTTTCTGACTCGTTATATGAAGCTAGTATTACCATTGTAATGAAACTAGACAAAACATCACAGGAAAAGAAAACTACAAACCAGTATCTTGTGAATATAGACACACAAATCCTAAGCAAAATACTACCAAACTGAATACAGCAGCACATGGGAAGAATGAGATACCACAATCAAGTGGGAGGCATTCCAGGAAAGCCAGGTTGGTTTAACACCCCAAATCAATTAGAATAAGAGAATAAAATGACATGATTATGTTAACAGCCACCGAAAAAGCATGTGACAAAATTCAACACCATTTCATGATAAAAACACTTAGCAAACTAAGAATAGAAGAGACCTTCTTTACTCTGATAAAAAGCATCTATAAAAACCCAACAGCTAACATCATCCTCAATAGTGAAAGACTGAATGCTTCCTACTGAGATTAGGAAGACAAAGATCTGCTCTCAATACTTCTATTCAGTATTGTACTGAAAGCTCTAGACAGGGCAACTAAGTTAAGAAAATGAAATTAAAAGGATTACACAGGAAGAAGTAAAACTATTGCTATTTGTAGATAATATTAGTTCATGTATAAAAAAATCCTAAGGAATCCACTAAAAAAACTATTAGACCTAATAAACAGGAGCAACAAGGTTGGAGGTCATAAGACCAATACACCAAAATTAACTGTATTTCCATACACTTTCAATGAACAACCTGAAAATGAAATTAAGAAATCAATTCCAGGCCGGGCGCAGTGGCTCACACCTGTAATCCCAGCACTTTGGGAGGCTGAGGCGGGCGGATCACGAGGTCAGGAGATGGAGACCATCCTGGCTAACACGATGAAACCCCATCTCTACTAAAAATACAAAAAAATAGCCGGGCATGGGGGCGGGCGCCTGTAGTCCCAGCTACTCAGAAGGCTGAGGCAGGAGAATGGCGTGAGTCTGGGAGGTGTAGCTTGCAGTGAGCCGAGATCGTAACACTGCACTCCAGGCTGGGCGACAGAGCGAGACTCCATCTCAAAAAAAAAAAAAAAAAAAAAAAAAGATTCCATTTATAACAGCACAAAAAAGAATAACATACTTCAGAATAAATTTTGCAAAAGATGTGCAAAATGTATACTCTGAAAACTATAAAACATTTTGAAAAAATTTTAAAAGACAGATAAATGGAAAGACATCCAAGTTCATGAATCAGAAAACTTAAGATTAAGATGGTAAGCCTGGGCAACATAGCAAGAGCCCTGTCTCTATGTAAAAAAAAAAGGAAAAAGAAAAAGAAAAAAAAAGGTTAAGATGGTAATCATCAACCTAAATGCCCTTCAATGACAGACTGCATAAAGAAAATGTGGGGCCAGGCACGGTGACTCAGGTCTGTAATCCCAGCACTTTGGGAGCTCAAGGCAGATGGATAACTTGAGGCCAGGAGTTGGAGACCAGCCTGGCCAACATGGCAAAACCTCGTCTCTATCAAAAATATAAAACTTAAGCACGCTGGTGCACACCTGTAATCCCAGCTACTCAGGTGACTGAGGTGTGAGAATCGCTTGACCCAGGAGGCGGAGGTTGCAGTGAGCCAAGATCATGCCACTGCACTGCAGCCTGGGCAACAGAATGAGACAGTGTCTCAAAAAAAAAAGAAAAAAAATGTGGTACTTCTACACCATGGAATACTATGTAGCCATAAAAACAAATGAGATCATATCCTTTGCAGGAACATGGATAGAGCTGGAGGCCATTATCCCCAACAAACGAACACAGGAACAGAAAACCAAATGCCACAGATTACATGGACACATAGCGGAGGACAACACACAATGGGGCCTTTCGGAGGGTGGAGAACGAAAGGAGGCAGAGGATAAGGAAAAATAACTAATAGCTATTAGGCTTAATACCTGGGTGATAAAATAATCTGTACAACAAACCTCCATGACACAAGTTTACCTATGTAACAAACCACACTTTAAATAAACATTTTTTAAAAAGATGGCAATGATTTCCAAATTGATCTACAGAATCAATGTAATGCCTATCCAAATCCCTACTGACTTCTTTGCAGAAATTGACAAGCTAATCCAAAAATTTGTGAGGAAATGTAATAAACTCAGGATAGTTAAAACTTCATCAAAAGTTTTGTACTTCAAAGGCCATCATCGGGAGAGAAAAGACAACTCACAGAATGAAAAAAATGTTTGCAAATCTGATAAGGAATTTGTATCTGAGAATATATTTAAAAACTATTATAACTCAATAATTTAGAATAACCCAATTAAAAATGGGAAAAGGATTTGAACAGATATTTCTCCAAAGAAGATGAACAAATAGTCAATAAGCACATGAAAAGATGCTCAATTTCATGAGCTCTGAGGGAAATGCAAATCAAAACCACAATGACATAATACTTCATATTTACTAGAATAGAAGGGCTAGAATAAAAAAGACAGACAATAACAAGTGTTGACAAAAATGTAAAGACATTGGATCCCTGCTATATTGCTGCTGGGAATATAAGATGGTGCAGCCACTTGGGAAAACAGTCTGGCAGTTCCTTAAAAGGTTAAACAGAGTTACCATATGACCCAGCAATTCTACTCCTAAGTGTATACCCAAGGGAAATCAAAATATATGTCCAAACAAAATCTGTACATAAATATTCATAGCAGCATTATTCACCAGCCAAAAAGTACAAACAATCTAAATGCCCATTTACTGATGGACAGATACATAAAATATGGTATGCTCACATCATGGAATATTATTTAGCAATAAAAACAATGAAGTATTGACACATACCATACTATGGACAAATCCTGAAAACATGCTAGGTAAACAAAGACAATTGCAAAGAACTGACTTACATGATACCTTTCATATAAAATGTTCAGAAGAGACAAATCCATAGAGGTTGAAAATAAATTGGTGGTTGCCTAGGACTGGGCAGGCTAAGGAACATGGGGAGAGATTACTAATGGGTACCGGGTTTCTCTTTGGGGTAATGTCAATGTTGCAAAATTAGATAATGGCCATGGATACACAATTTTGTGAACTTACTAAAAACCCTGAATTGTATGCTTTAAATGAGTAAATTGTATAGTATGTGAATTACATATCAATCAAGTTGTTTTTTAAAAATCAACTTTACCTTGAGGGAGTTGGGTCATCTTGGCCAAGGCGTGACATAATATTTATCAAGGTGTTAATCCCTATTTAAAATAAAAACAAATACACAAGTAAATACGGATAGAAGAATTATAGGACCATCATATTATAGTAGAAAAAAATTATCTCATGTCAATGTGATTTTAAAAGATTTGGAATCTACCTGTCTAAAAGTGTAATCAACAATTATTTAAAACACTGGATAGGAAAAAGAAATTTTTCTAAAAAACTCATCAACCCTTATTATAGTTCTTGCTCAAAGTAAATATTATAAAAGAGTCCATGCGGTGGCTCTAGGCGCGGTGGCTCATGTCTGTAACCTTAGCACTTTGGGAGGCAGAGGCGGGTAGATCACTTGAGGTCAGGAGTTCAAGACCAGTCTGGCCAAAATGGCAAAACCCTGTCTCTAATAAAAATACAAAAAAACTAGCCAAGTATGGTGGCATATGCCTGTAATCCCAGCTATTCAGGAGGCTAAGGCAGGAGAATCACTTGAACCCAGCAGGCAAAGGTTGCAGTGAGCTGAGATTGTGCCACTGCACTCCAGCCTAGGTGACAGAGTGAGACTCTGTCTCAAAAAAAAAAAAAAAGAGTCAGTAATCACTAGAATATGAAATGGTGAAAGAGTCACCCAGGGAACCATTCCTAGAAGCGAAATAATTTACAGCAGAAAACACAGGCCAAAATAGGATCTTCACATCTTAAAATCATCCAGACATACCTTTCTTCCGCATGTGCATGTGATGAACTTTTCTGTCTCCATATTTGGGCTGCCGAATTCCACAGTTAGACAAAGAATTCCTGGCATGATCAGGATTCATTCCAAAATTTAAATGATGACTTGGATGAGTCATGGCCAGCTAAAATTTCAATAAAATAAATTCAGTCTTTAAAACAGCATAAACTAGATGCAATGGTTCACACCTGTAATCCTAAGGTGGAAGGACCACTTTAGTCCAAGAGATCAAGACCAGCCTGGGCAACACAGTGAGATGCCATCTCTACAAAAAATAAAAAATTAGCCTGGTGTGGTGGCACGTGACTGGAGTCCCAGCTACTCAAGAGGCTGAGGTGGGAGGATCACTTGAGCCCAGGAGGTCGAGGCGGCAGTGAGCTATGATCACGCCACTGCACTCTAGCCTGGGTGACGGAGGGAGACCCTGTCTCAAAAAACAAAAACAAAACAAAAACTCAGCATGGGGGCACCATCTTTGTATCATCCTAAATTAAGCAGGAAAGGGAGCTGTCTGTCCATTTGAATTTTAAGCCCTGATCTTTCCATCTTATCTCCCCAAGTATCTGCAAACAGACGACCTACAGAATGGCAGAAAATATTTGCATACTATATATCCAACAAAGGACTAATATCCAGAATCCACAAGGAACTAAAACAAATCAGCCAGAAATAATAATAATAATATAATAACCCCATTAAAACGTGGGCAAATGACATGAACAAACATTTTTCAAAAGAAGATATAAAAATGGCCAACCAACATGAAAGAATGTTCAACATCACTAATCATGAGGGAAATGCAAATTAAAACCACAAGGAGATACCACCTACCACTTTGCCCCAGTCAGAGTGGCCATTATTTAAAAACCAAAAAATAGCAGGTGTTGGTGTGATGCAGTGAAAAGGGAAGGCTTATAATACACTGAACTTTATATAAGCTATATGCATTAGTATAACCTCTACAAAAAACAGTATGGAGATTTCTCAAGAAACTAAAAGTGGATCTAACACTTGATTCAGTCCTCCCACTACTGTGTATCTACCCAAAGGAAAAGAAGTCATTCTATCAAAAAGCCACCTGCACTTCTATGTTTACTGCAGCACAATTACAATTGCAAAGCTATGGAATCAACCTAAGTGTCTATCAACTGATGAGTGGATAAAGAAAACGTGGTATACATATACCATGGAATACTACTCCACAATAAAAATAATGAAATAATGTCTTTTGCAGCAACTCAGTTAGAACTACAGGCCATTATCCTAAGTTAATTAACTCAGAAACAGAAAACCAAATACTGCATCTTCTCACTCACAAGTAGGAGCTAAGCTATGGGTACCCAGGGTCATACAGAGTGGTATAATGGATACTGGAGACTCAGATGAAGAGTGTTGGGAGGTGGGTGAAGGATATAAAACTACCTATTGGGTGTATGTACATTATTCAGGTGACAGGTACACTAAAAGCCCAGACTTCACGACTATACAATTCATCCATGTAACCAAAAACCATTTGTACCCCTAAATCTACTGAAAAAAATTTTTAAGTGGCGAAAACAAATTTCCAGATCTCTGACGCAAGCCCTGTTCTGCAAACAAACGTAAAAACCCACATCTTTAGGTTGAGCGCAGTGGCTCACACCTGTAATCCCAGCACTATGGGAGGTCGAAGCGGGCCGGGCAGATCACCTGATGTCAGGAGTTCGAGACCAGCCCGGCCAACAGGGCAAAAGCCCGTCTCTACTAAAAATACAAAAATTACCCGGGCATGGTGGCGGGCACCTGTAATCCCAGCCACTCAGGAGCCTGAGGCAAGAGAATCGCTTGAACCCGGGAGGCGGAGGCTGCAGTGAGCCGAGACTGCGCCATTGCACTCCACCCTGGGCAACAAGAGCGAAACTCTATACCAGAAAAGAAAAAAAAACAAAACAAAACTACATCTTTCAGAGAAGTTAGAATACTCAGCACCTGAAAAGGAGAGACATAAAGGAGGAAAAGCTGGAAGAAGGTACTCAGATTTGACAAATTTCAGTTTTAGTCAATTTTTTTAGGGATGACCTCAAATAAATGTGAGAGAATTGGCTGGAAAGTAGCAGAGGCAACCAGGGTAGAGCAATGGAGAGAACTATGTTTTTATCAATCCTTGTCACTTCCCCGGATAGAAAACCCAATGTACCATTTGTGACGTGCAAGATGAATTACTCCTATCTTGTTACGACGTGGGTTTACAGGAGAATAATTCTTACCTGTAACAGACAACGATCTTGGAAAGTATATCCTATCAACTTGTCCAAATGCATTAGGCATTGGTGGTAGCGGATATGATGGGTCAGAACAGGTAACATCATTGCATGCTAGGAAAAAAAAAAAAGTATTGAATATGTTTAACTTTATAAAAACTTATAAAGTCCCTTCATTTGTTTTACAACAAGTCAGAACCATTTTCACATTCCAAATTCCATCTCACTAAGTCCTCAAACAGCTTATTGGCTGCATGGCATTCTGGAGAATCCTCTGTGAGAGACTGTAGCTGTTAAGAGTATATAGTCTCTAGAATCAGAATGCCTGGGTCCAAATCCTGCTCTGCCACTTATTCACTGTGTGACCTGGGGCAAGTTATCTTACCTCTCTGCTTCAGTTTCCTCATCTGCACAATGAGAATAATAAATATACGTACTTTCAAGGATAGCTAAAAGGATTAAAAGAGGAAATACAAAAATCTTCTTAGAACAAGGCCTGTTAGCCCTCATTCCATTAGGAATAGCCCTGGTTCTATCAGTATTCAGCAGGGTAGCTTTGAGTAAGTCACATGCATTTCTGTGCCTCCTTATCTACCTTTAATTAAAGGGGAATGGATTAGGATTCATTCATTTTGAAACTTTTTTAGGCTCAAGATATTTTTGAGAATCCAAGGAAAATGATTCTTTCCCCAGAAAAATGTCCCTGTGCACAAACATGCAAAAGTTGTACACAATTCACAAACCCCTGAAGCCCATGATTATCCTTTAAGAGCTTCTCAACCAGATATGCCACCCTAGGTTTAACATTTAATGATCTAACATTCTGAAGACAATTTTTAGAAAGACACCAGTACAGTTAAGGTACCCAAGGACACAGAATTTAAACTTTTCCTTCAATCCCTTTTCATTTGGCTATAAATTCCTTATTGGGAGATAATTTCGTGGAAGGCATATCTTTTTCTTTTCCTTAATACTGTTTCCCAAGAACACAAAAGAATGTAGGGAGTCATTCTTATTCATCAGAACCTGGAGGATGGACCCAGCCCACAGAATGACTGACATATGCTTTATATTATTTCAGTCTTTGAAGTATTTTAAGCTGGCATTGTTTAAAAGTACATGAAAATGGATTTGCTTCAAACTATAGAAATTAGTTATGTTATTAACTTATAAAGAAAGATTCATTCTACCAAATAGTATCTCTAATCAACAAAAAATCTTTCTTGCCAGTTCAATTCAGGAAGTATATAATTGAGCACCTCCACGTGTAAGGCCTTACAATATGTGTGGGAGACAGAAAAAGTGAAGACACTGTTTTTGCCATTAAAGCTAGAAATACGCCATTAGAATTTTAATTATCAGCACTTTAACAACTTTGTTTTTATAAGTGCTGTATTGATAAACACAACAATATGGAAACAACATGCACAATCAAAGTATAATAGCTTTCCAGCCATTTAAACTGCAGGAAGCTCAAGAGTTGATGCTAAAAACTCAAGGTGGATAGGACATGGGTTAGGACATGAAGACTACTCAGTGCAACTGCCTTTTCTAAAGCATGAACTCAACCTGGTGAACTGTTTACTTTCTTAATATTTCTTATGAGACATGAATCGCTGCCTGTCAGGAAAATAAAACCCTCTTTAGAGTTTGCTGATTATTTAAAAATTACCTTTTTTTTTTTTTTTTTGAGACAAAGTCTCACTCTGTCGCCCAGGCTAGAGTGTAGTGACACAATCACAACTCACTGCAGCCTCGACCTTCCAGGCTCAAGAGATCCTCCCACCTCAGCCACCCAAGCCCCAGCAGCTGGGACTACAGGTGTGCAACACCACACTCTGCTGATTTCTGTGTTTTTTGTAGAAATGAGGTTTCGCCATGTTGCCCAGGTTGGTCTTAAACTGCTGGACTCAAGGGATCGGCCTGCCTCGGCCTCCCGAAGTGCTAAGATTACACAGGCATAAGCCAGTGCACCGGGCCCGAAAATTACTATTAACTTTAAGCCCAAATCTGTATCTTTGGAAGTTTTACCACTTTAACCCGAGTTCTACCCAGAAACAAAATGCATTTAATGGCAGGTTTTCCACATCTTGTTTTAGCTAACCTATACCTTACTACCTTACTTCCTCTAACCTTTTCTCATGTAAAACAGCTTTGAATCCCTTAACCACTTTCTCTAAATCTGCTCCAAACAAAGCCTGTTTCTCCTTCCAAATAAACCTTTTGTGAATACCATGGAAGGGTATAGATGACCCGTGTCCATCTTGAATCCCAGACATCAAGTCTCAATGTTACCTACAAGACTTTAAATTTCTAGCTCAGTTTTTAAAAGTATCAGTCTTTGCAATATTAAAATATAATCATCTTTATGTCTGGCATCTTTATGAATGCCAACTGCTTTAATTAAAAAAAAAAGAAACTCAAATTCTCCCATAAAAACAGAGCAACTAGACTAGCAAAATGAAAGACCAATGAACATTATCTACATAAAAACTAAATGACAAGGTACCCCCTTGAGTCCCTAACTAAGAGCGGATGAGGAGAAAGAGCTACGTCTCAGCATCTGTGTGAGAGAAGAGACAGGCCCTGATAATGGAAGAAACTCAAAATTAACAACACATGTTCACCGGAAATAACCCAAAATGGAATCTAATTCTGCCGAATCTAATTCATTGAGTGAATATGGGAGGACAGTCTAACTGTGCTGAAGACACCTGGGACCTACAAACACTCAAAACAAAAAAACAAAAGGTGAAGCTCCCTACAAGGTAAAAGCCCCACAACGAGGAGAAAGTGCTGGGAGTGCAAGCCACGTTTCGCTAGAGAGGGATAATGAAAGGCAAAAGAGAGAAGGTCCAGACAAAAGCAGAGGAGAGAAGCAGAGGGGGCAAATCTTAGTGTGAAGCCGTATTATTTCTTTTATCACTGCAAAAACAACAGGAGGAGGAGCTCCAGAGTTTCTTAAAGAGCAACAGAAAAGAATCATGATCAAATCCCATTCAAAGATGTTTCTAAGAAGAGGAGTAGAATAACATCCTTGCTGATAATAAAAACATTCCAGAGGCTGGATGCGGTGGCTCACGCCTGTAATCCCAGCACTTTGGGAGGCCAAGGCGGGTGGATCACGAAGTCAAGAGATCGAGATCATCCTGGCTAACACAGTGAGACCCTGTCTCCATTAAAAATACAAAAAATTATCTTGGTGGAGGGTGGCGGGCGTCTGTAGTCCCAGCGACTCGGGAGGCTGAGATAAGAGAATGGCATAAACCCGGGAGGCGGAGCTTGCAGTGAGCCGAGATTGCGAGACCCTGTCTTAAAAAAAAAAAATTCCAGAGAAACATACCAATAACCTTCTAAGCAAAGAAATAAAACCATAGGAGGATTAACACAAATTACAAATAAATATTACATAAATTCGGAAATGAGATTAGAGGAAGAGAAGATTTGAAAAGAAGTGACAAAACTCAGGAAAAAGAAACATAAAAGGAGATAACCACTTCAAGACTAAACAAGAAGGAACACAAAATCAGATTAACCCAATGAATAGTGCTTTTGAAAAATAGAAACGAAGAATTCAAGAGAAAATGATGGATCCAGAAGAGAAGCAAAAAAGATATAAGACACATATATCTTATAAGAAGATATAAGATGCAAGAAGTAATTACTACTTCTTGAATGAAGAATTCAAGAGAATATGATAGATCCAGAAGAGAAGCAAAGAAAATATAAGATGCATATAAGTGGAGTACTTTAAAAATCAAAATAATAGAAAATAATGAAATGTGTAATACAAGAAAAAGAAAACTTTCCTGAGATAAAAGACAACTTGAAAGTATATACTGAAAGTATATACAGCATACCTGAAAAAATTACTGAAAAGAGCTGAGACATATTCTAGTAAACTATTGGTTTCTAAAGAAAAAGAAAAAATCCTCTGGGCACTCAGACAAAAGGACCAAGTCACTTAAACTCATATTGTTATCACACTTTTTTTTTTTTTTTTTTTTTGAGATGGGTTCTCACTCTGTTACCCAGTTTGGAGTACAGTGGCATGATCTCGGCTCACTGCAACCTCCATCTCCCAGGCTCAAGTGATCCTCCCACCTCAGCCTCCCAAGTAGCTGAGACCACAGGTGTGCACCACCATACCCAGCTAATTTTTTGTAGAGCTGGGGTTTCGCCATGTTGCCCAGGCTGATCTCAAACTCCTGGGCTCAGGTGATGCACTTGCCTTGGCCTCCCAAAGTGCTGGGATTACAGTCGTGAGTACCTATACCTGATCATATTGTTACCACACTTTTGACAGCTATGTTTTATGCCAGAAAACAATGAGAATGTATTTAAAATATTAAAGAAAGAAAATGTGATCCACAGATTTTATATCTAGCCAAACTGACCGTTAAAATAAAGACCACAGTCAAACTGTGAGGAACATGCAGAAACTCAAGGACAACTGTTTCTATAAGGCCTTCTTGAGGAATGGTTTAGAAAATGAGCTTCAGACAAACGAGAAAGGGGAGGTGGGAGATTGATAATGACATATGATCTGATGATTACTTGCAAATATATTTTTATTGGTAGATAATCACAAATGAGTCAATATAAGAAATAATTAAACATTCTAACACTGATTAGTACAACCATCAGAAAACAAGGGAGAATAAGAAATATATAAAGAGTAGGATGAGGTTGCTGCCTGCCTTATTAACTTGCAACAAAAGGATATCACTTCAAATTAGATGCCAGGTGAGAGAGAAGATTATGGGAAGAAGCAGAGAGAAGCTACTTTTACTAAAAGACAACAAGATACACACACACACATACACACACACACACACACAGAAAGAAAGAGAGGTAAGGGAGAAATGTAATTATACTATAAAGCTGTCAGTATAAAGGTAACCATTAGAATAAAAATACAAGCCTTCCTGAATACAAACGATATAAAAAGGAAAAAAACAAAGCCAATATAACGGATTTCATAGTACCCACTAACATAAAACAGTTTTACAGACAGAAAGCCGAACATATCAATAAGCTCTATACATTGCTATGAAGTGACCTCCCAGACACATGGTTTGTAATTATTGTTGTTGTTACTGTTGTTTTGTTTT